GGTAATGCATTGTTCATTTCGTACATAAAAAAAAGGAAAGAGAAAGAAAAGAAAAGAAAAGAAAAAAAAAAAAAAAAAAAAAAAAAAAATCCATCTGTGGATCATAATCTGGAGCATCTGCCACTTTTTCTTCCTTTTTCCTTTCACTGCCTTTTTACTTTTTGGGGGTTCTCATCTTATTTGAGGTGGGTTATAGAGGAACACTAATATGAAAGCGGTGGCAGTGAGAACCCTAACTTTAGTGCCCAGGTTTTCAGTCTTTGACAAAGACGATCACTAATCTGGGGCACTCGATCTTAATTAGTCAACTAAACTTCTATCAAGTCCCTACCTGGCTTATCAACATCTCATCAAGTTGATCAAATATGATTAAGCTTTTTTCCTTTTGCACTTTTACTCTATCAAGATCAGGAACGCCAAAGGCATTGTCAAAGTTAAATTGCATTACATTAAAGTCATATTGAGAATATGTTATATGTTCAGTTTTCTATTTCCTTTCCCAAAATACACATGTTACTTTTAATGTATTTTTTGAGAAAGAGTTTTTTTCCTTTTAAAGAAATCATTTACATTGAATTGTTTAAGTGTATCTACTCCTAAAAGTCGCTTGCTGTGTGCCATAAATTACCATCAAAGTTAGATGCTGATGTGGTAGAAAAGTCAAATTTAGTCAAAGAAATTAAATGAAAAATAAATCACAAATTAGAAATAAAAATCACACTTTTATTTCAGAACACTTTTCATTTATTCAGGAGAAATTCTGTTTATTTTCCCAAGCGAAGCATAATTAGGAATAATCCACTTCTAAACCCATGTTGGATGAAATCGGATGAAATAAAAATCACGAAACAGCACGCGGTTCCACGTCTTTAGGGTACTTTCACCGTGGGCGGAAAACGGACACCGGGTTCACTTAAAGCTCCTTTTAACTTTTCGAGGGGATCTTTAAAGCTTTTGCATCACTGAGTAGGGGGAGAGATAAAGTCGTGTGTGCGCTCATGCGTGCTTCATAGCTGCCTCGGCCCTCCATGTCCGAGCTCGCTCTGCAAGGGAGTCCACTTGCAGATTCTCTTCGTTGTTGCTTAGCTTCACGCACTCCAGGTGATTTGGATTTCTATAGTGTTTCGTAGTATAGATTGGTTTTAAGCAGATCGTATGTAGTCTCTCGAGTGTTTTTATTTATTTTTTATTTTGTTATTTATTTCCTCAATCTTGGTATCTTCTCTGGTTGGTGTGGTTAGTGGTTTCCGCATGGTCGGAATCCTCTTGGTCTATTGGTAACGTGACCTTATGTTCTCTTGCTTGAAAGTAGCGGAGTGTTTTCTTCAAGCGTAGAGTTGAAATTAGACGAACTGTGAGGCAGTCTTATCGAGTTTTTTTGTTTTTATTTTTTCACCCCTGTTGCCGAACTATGGCAGTAGTGCTGAGGAATGTGGCAGCGTTTGGTCGCCTCGCGTGCTCCCCTGCTGTAGACGCTAGAGTTTGGTGTGGAATTGAACCTTCAAAGCCCCCGAAAACGAATGGTTCCGTCTTCCAAGATCAGGAGTCGTCACTCTCAAAATCAAAAAGCAGTGTCAGTCACTCACAGTCTGTCAACAATCCTGCCCGATGTCAGGCTTCCGTCACGGCATATCCTCCTCCAACTCGGCAGTCTGTCGGAGTTTTGGAGCGACCTGTGGTGGAGGAAAAGCCTACCCCGGAGTTGCGCCCTGATACAATTGACCAGCACGCAGAACCTTTGCCCCGCTCTTTCTTGGCTGAGTCTGTGAACGGTACCTTAGTGGAATGTAACGGTAAAGGGAGTCGCCCTCTATACACCAACGTGCTGACAGAGCTTCAATTGAGTTACTTGGGCACGAGCTCAACAGAAGTGCGTGCTCCAGTGGATAACGAAGCAGTGAAGATGGCCTTCGAAGCCGCACTTGAAAATGCTCCTGGTAATGCCCGGATTGTGTCGGAGTACGCGATGTTTACATGGAAGACACTAGGAGACATAGATGCAGCAGAGATGTTATATAACAAAGCACTGGAGTTGGCACCACATGATGCCGATATCCAGGCCAGTCATGCCCTCTTTCTGTGGCAGTGCGACGAGTGATTGAAGGCAGGCTAGTAAGGAATCATGAGCGGTCATTTCTCTTTGAAGTTTGTATACTTAATAAAGCAGGGATGCGTGTGCGACATACCGTGGCAGAGGAGGTTTTGAGCAAAACTAATGAATTGTCACCAATCAATCAGAACAACTCTGGGAATTAAACGCCTCCGGTGTGGCAGATAAAAGAGTTACGAGTTTCTGGGATGCATCAAAGTTTGCACCGAGTGTAACATAGACATGCGGAAGAGTTGAGATGAAGCTAGAATGCGATTATCGCAGCCGGAGATACTATGCTCCTCCGATGTACAGATTTTTTAGCATAACAATGCTAGCTGAGCTTAGTTCAGCATATCTCGCGCATACTATGGTCATGGTGGGTTGGCTAGTGTTTTTTTGAGATCCTGAGTGGATTTGTTGAGTATTTAGCCTAATCCTCAATATACATATAAAAGTTGTGCATGCTATCCGTAGTTCCAGGTTATTTGTGAACTCTTGACATCTAAAATTAATATCTTTTTGTGGTCCTTAAAAGGCCACAAAATATCTTCAAGCATCTGACGCACACCAGAGCCTCGACCTGTAATATCACGCTCTCTCTATCGTCGGCAACCGACAAGTCTGGAGCAACGATCTAAGAGACGGCCCAGGGAAAAGCCTCATCTTAGATTTATGCCTTTTGAAGATACCGAAACGCCAGGTCTATGAGAGATATCTTACGTGCGAAAATTCATGGATTGGTTTGCACAACAACGTGGGTGTGCAATAGGTGTGTATTTGCGGTGCACCAATCGTGACTGTGGAAATGATCTGCGTTGCTCAAATCAGAATTTCCATGTCTTCAAACGTTCTGGAAGAGGCACGACATTGATATGATGCACTTGTGAGTAGCATTCGAAACATGGGTTGAGCGTGGTGGACTTGGCTTGCACAAGGGACTCAAGTGAGTTTCCACTTGCACTTAAAAAATTCATATTAAGTGCAAGGGACTTGAGAATGAATTTTTGAAAGGAGTGCATATCCAAACGATGTTGGGCAATTTCAGACAAGTATGAAATTTCCAATTTGCCCATTTCATTTTGTAGCCCATGGTTCAAGAGTAATTGGTGCAATCCACAGCACATCGGATAGATCACCTTCCTAAAGAGTGTAGTTCAAGGGAAGGTACAAGTACACAACAACAAAATCCAAAGAATATTGCTACACTTGCAATTCTATGACATATTATACATGTATGTATGTCTATATATATATATATATATATTACAAAATGAAGCAAGTTCAATAGATGAGTTTATTGTAAATACGCCTATAAATACAGTTGATTTATTTTAACAAGTCCATATTATAAAAAGAAAAAGAAGAAGAAAAAATAGAATTAAAACTAAAATCTATTCGTTTAAAATTTTATGTAGATCCACAAGAGAATACTTCAATGTTGAAAGATTAATAATATAAAGAAAAAAATTATGAAACAAATAAATTCTAATTTTAATAAAAAATTATAAATTTATAAAAAAAATTAAAGAAATTAAAACACATAAAATATTTCTATGATAAAAAATAAAATAATAATAATAAAAAATAGATCCATAAACTTAAAAGCAATATTAAGGTTTATTAAGAAATCCAAATTATTTAGATATAAGAGAGAATTTCATCTTACTTATAATTTTATTAAGTAGTTGGTGGAAATGTTAAATTTTTGGAAGATAGTAGGATATTAGAAATTAATACAAAACTCTATAATTTAATAAATTTATGAGTTTAAATAAATATATATTTTTAAATTATATAAATTTTTTTAGATATTCCATTTGAATTATTATTAAAAAATCAAAATTTTAAGTAATTTTTAATCTATTAATAAATGATAGAAAATATCTTTTTATCAAAAAAAATTCATTCTAGCAAGATAAAGTATTTATTGAAATTTATTTTTGAATATCTAAGTTTCTTAAATGTTAAAAAATTATTAAATAATATACATATATTATATAGAGTATTTAATACATAAGTTATACTAGAATTACTTGACATATATATATTGCAAAATTAAATTAGATGGCAACTTAGAAATAATTAATTATTAATAAGAAAGCCAAATTATTAAATAAAGGAGATTTAATTTTTTATATCTTGTTATATTGCATCACAAAGAAAATTTTAAATTTAAGAACTAGACTTGGATTAGCAATGCACAAGTCTAAATGATTTTTATGATATTAAACCAATATATTGTGTATAAAATTTTAACCCTTTTAATTATAAGAAGAAATTTTCATGTACAATGTTTTAACAATATACTATTTACAAAAAAAATTAGTTGAAAGTTTTGTTCATCATTAAGCATAAAGATAGGTAGTCAAGTTTATTTTGACCATGCCAAATGGAATTATGCACAATAGACAATTATTCATGTACCTTCTATTACAACTTGGTATTTCTAAAATACATACAATTCTAAATATTTGATGTAGAAATATAAAATATATTTATTATTGCAAAAACTAAAAACATTGTGTATATAATTAATTTTAATAAATATTTAAAAAATAATAAAATAAAAAAGAATCACCATTTTATTATATTTATTTCTTTTATATAATTATAATAAAATTACATTTTAATCTTATATGCTTTAGTAGAAATCAAAGATAAAATTAATAACTAATTTAGCAAACTAGAAGATAAATAATTTAAATTATAAACCTACAATTGAAGATTATTATAAATTTATCATAATTGTTTCAAATGATCAAAGAAGACATGAGCGAGATTTGAGGAGTTGTTAGTTTTGGGTTATGTTAGTCAGTGGCACATTGTGGAATAGTAACTATGATATCAAGACACATCCAAGATGTAAATGCTTCCTTTATTACGATGCTTCTTCAAAAGAAAGCCAAGTTTACAAGTACTCCAAACACAATGAATCAATGCTTTCTCTTTTATTCGTTCAAGTACAAGAACATTACATTGTTGTGCATGACCAAAATGCTTCCATAATTGTGACAAACAAACTTGCCATGTTTATTTACTATAGAACATATGATTTCCAAAGAGAGAAAGAGAGAGAGGGCCATGTGTTCCTTTAGTGGTTCTTATAATGCCTAAAAAAATTCTTAATCACCACTTCTAGTCTAAATTTATGACAATGCTACAGCTAATTGTATATTTATCCTATCTTCTTGTTGTATTGTCATATTGCGACTTTTGCTAAAGATTGTTGACTTCATCCAAGGCATTGACAAGAAACATACTAGAAATTCTTGGTCTTATTATAGCCACACAACTTTAGTCATTTTTATCTAATCAATTGAAGACACACAAATCCAAACAAAGAAAACATGCTTTATCCTGGTTTGGGCACTTCTACCTCTTTTTAGAAAACAAACACAAACCCATTCCTTCTATGCTGTCTTGTTCAAGGCATAGCTCCTAATCACAACAACAAAGACACGGCGTTCTTACAATGAGGTAGTAGTGCAAGGAGACTAAATGTTATATATGCAGTGACAAGTTGGAACTTGTAAATGTTTGAACTTGGAGCTGCTTGCCATGTAGAAAAAACACACGCACACACACAAACAAACAAGGAGCCGCTGAAGCTAAATATTTAGCATGGCAGCCCACACCCACCCTCCACCACCACCACAGAATCCAGAAAATGGATCCCCCTTCCCCGGCCCAAGTAATGGCTCTTTATATAATGGTGCACAGTTGGAGCTCACAAGAGCAGGAGGATGTCCAGCACAAGACTCTGAATGCCTCAGAATCTGACCGTGAATCTCGTGTGTGGGGGATGGGGCGGGATCTCATGCTTATGTACCGCTATGGGCCAATGCATGCCGACTAGTATTATCTCCCTGCCTATCAACATGCCCTGGCCCATACCGACGCGCGTCCAGGGAATAGAATCCGGAGCAGGAACTGGCAGTGTCAAGTTGGAGTTCATGGCCTCCACACGCAATCACCGTGTGCGGGAGAGATGTGTGGTGGAACGGATGTCGGAATGGTTAAACTCGGTTCACTGAATGATTGATTGAGGTTTTGTCGTGGTCGAATCGGTCGAAGCTTTGCATGGTTGAGTTTAGAAATAGGGTTTTCTTTTTTCTTTTTTTCTTTTTTCTTTTTTCTTTTTCTTTTTCTGTAGGAATGTTGAATCGAGGAGAGGCGGTAGTGGTAGGGTGTTGACCTTGTTGTTGAGATGTTGGGTTGGTCTGGGTCGTTGGAGTTGCTTTTCCAATGGCTATGGTGGTGGGAATTGCTGGTGGCCAGAGGGCTACGTTTACTGCACTGCTTTGGTGCGGCATGGAGTGGAACCTGTTGGGGAATCAATCTAAACATGTCATCTTACACATTGACTACACAACCAAAGAGGGCCAAGGTGGGTCAGTCTTTGGTTCTGCATTGTAACTACGTTAACTTCTGATATGATTATGTACAGAGAACCAGAGATATGCTTGGAAGACTCTCGGGCTGGTCTTTGTGGTATTTTTGAAGTTGCATTAGTGTGTGGAAGAGCTGAGAGTGTCGGCAATGAGTGTCGACCTATTTGCGAAGACCCGAATGTCTTGGCTATGGCAATTGCCGAACCCACTGTGAGTGAAATGTATCGCGAAAGGAGCGCTCACATTAAAATACTCGGAACAATGACGACGAAGCCATTGTTTTCGGTCAATCCTGTACATTGAAATTTGGGCCATTTGTCACCTTCAAAACTGTTTTGCAAATTGCCGGTCGCATTGCGAATATACGTTCAAAATTTGGCAGTGAATGCATGGCAGAGGCTGGGAGATGCAGACAAGACACGGAAGTTTAACATGAGAGCGATTCAATTGTCATGGAAGATTACAACATCCAGGCTAGCCACTGAATAATTGTGGCGGCGGCTGTTGCTTCCACACAAGTCTATTGCAAAACAAATTGTGTCACGCTGCACGATTGGTTCAACGTGTGGCTCCAACTTGGAAATAATTGAGGGACACCATTGTGTCTGTGACAGACTTATTTTCAGTGCAAGATATTCTGAACTGAACGACCACTAATTCTTATTCGAAACAATTGACTTCAAACACTTCGGGTAATGGTTCCAACACTCAATTTGACGAATGTAGCTTGGTGAATGTTACTGAAATGAGAAATGTGAGACTAAGATTTAATTGCACTTCTTCAAGAATTACGAAAACGACTTTATACTCGACGGCGTATTAACAGACTACGGCGTTCATGAAAGAAGAGTGATGCAGGTATATTCCGGTTCCAACACCGCATCGGTTCTGTTGACGTTACAGAGGGTCGTAGTAGTAGGGTGATTGGGCCTTTCTAGGGGTTCACACCTTTACCGTTATAGACGAGAGTAATCAACTCTGCAAGACAAAACGTAATTATTGTTCCCTGTGACACAAGCACCTCCCGAGATATAGGATCACTGCAATTTCGAGGTTTGCTTCTCACGTGAAGTGGACGAAAGGAAATCAACTTATTCTAGAGTTTGCTTAGTATTATGAAGGGAGTCGTATATCAGTGGGCGAAAGCATGTTGGAAGTTAACTACTCTCATGTCAAATCAGGCGGTCACCGATATTAGATACGAATGAATATTACCCAGTACCGATACAAACTAGGGACTTGCAACAGCGTTCCATCAAGAGATGCGATCTAGGATGAATTTTCAAATTGTTCAAGCTGTCGATGAAGTTTCTTACTTAGAAAGTTTACATATATACATGCTGCGAATGTCGTCAATGAAACACTTGACCTCAAAAAGTATGAACCATATGCCGAAAGTCACCAGGTTTCAACCACCTCCTTTAAGGTGAGCAACCAGTAACGAGGGCAAATCGCCAGGTTTCTGAGATTCACAACCAGAATCTTCAGTTTGATTGGTTACGCAAGTAGGATCTGCAGACCCACCGGTTGGCTATTACGCCAAATGGAAAAGTTGCCTCTCGAGGTGGGTCCGGGGGAGTCCGGCCTAGACTGTGTCCAGCTCCAGGTGATCGATCGAGGGGTGCTGATTCCATCATGTAATCTTTCGCAGAATCGACCTGATGATCGTCCAATGGGTTCGCTGCCAGTGTAAACGAAGCGATCGGAGTATGGGTTGAACAAGCTCTCACAAAAACTGATTGCAGAGTCGACCACAAGGCCCTGCCACAAGTTACAGTCATACATCTGGAGCTCTTTAGAAATATATCAAGGACCCTCGGAGACTGACTAAGCACGGAAAGCCTAGCTAGAAGCGCATAGATCTAGTTCACCAAAGCATAACATTACCTCAGCCAGGGCCTTGATTTTAAGTGTGGTGTTATCTGTCAAAATGGCAACTCGGCCATCTGCCATTGTTTGTTGGAGTAAAGCATACTCAAGTACATAATCGTGAGGAGTGGGTTGCATCACGTCGCTTTCACCAACGTACGATAGAAGTGCTCTGCATTATGACGTCAACACAGACGACGTTTGAGACTGAAAACTTGAAATGACAGGTGCTTCTCTCGTATTAAAGTGAAAATGAGATTAACATTCTTTGCTACACGCGGTTTAAAATATCCCACCACATGTGAATAAATTGGTATAATTGGACGCGAAGGGAATGTATAAAATAGTCGAACAATGCTCACTTGAACCAAAACTTTAGCAAATCAACCATCAGACAATTACCGAAGTAGCTGTGTACCTGGAGAAGACGGAGGGTGATACGGGGGTTATGGCCACGCGAAAAGCATCCGCAGAGCACTGAACATGAATCCATGAAGGCATTTTCAACATGCAACTCTGAATCCACTCCAGTGCAGAACGTGAACGGGCCTTCAATTCCTCTTGTTTTTGAAAGTAACCCAGTTCCCTTATAACTGCAGTATGAAAAACAATTGTATCAGGCATTTCTGCATACTGAACATCCAAAAACTCAAGGTCTTAACAACTCAAAGACGAACAGCTTTAACCACTTGAGTTATTGTCAGCATGTGAGTAGGAGACTAGTGGAATGAGAATATAAGTTAATTTGGATTTACAATACTAGTTCTTACATTCTGCACCGAATTTACACAATCGTGGATTTTTCAATGAAGGCTTATCAAGTTTTACCGATGCTGGGGATGATGAGGCGAGTGAGACGAATGCCTTCAAGTTGCTTGATACATTCAAGGGACCTCGTATTCATAAGACATTCTGTATCTACTATAACTTGCCACTGCCGTCCTGCGTCCAGTGGATACCTCGCCTGCAGGTAAAAACATATTTAAACATACTCTTTGACAGACTGCAGCGGCTACTGCACTTAGTCAAAATGAATATTGTATGAAATAAAAGAAAGTTCGTGTATTTTTCGTGTTGAGGTAACTAAAGTTCTAGAATAGCCAGATTGAATAGAGAGTAATCGAACACCCACCCTGTGCAATTGTTGAGAAGAAGCCATAGATATGGAAAAAGTATTAGGACTTTGGCAGAACGAAGGAGACGGCGCACTGTACAGTGTTTGAAGGGGCTCCCTACGGCAACTTCCGATACTGTTGAACCTTTGCGATCCACCTAGTCCGGGCGGGTTCATCTCAGGCACATTCTCCTTATCAGGATCGTGATGCTCACATGAATCATCGGGACCATATATCTCCAAAGACAGCTTCTCCAGGGCACTCTCGATAGTATCCTCTTCGACGAGGATATCTCCTAATGGAACTGGAGTAGCCTCTTCAGAATACTCAGACTCAACATCACTCTCATCTCCAACAGTCCAGCCATGAGTTGTTAGAGATTCTGCTTGCCTAAGAGACAACACTGGAGATATTGATCCCTCCTCACCTGATGCAGTAGAAGCCACCTGGACCGGCGTGAGGCTAGTAGGAGTGGCCACAGTTTTGGTAGGCGTGTACTTTTCAGGTGTTTGATTGGCACCCATCCGTATGTTGAGTTCGGACGCCGGAACAGGAGCAAAAGGTAGACGACGAGCATGAGTTACATGAGAGCGGTCTTCATCACCTCTCTTTGATTGTCTCCTAGTAGAAGAATTATTGTCGACATAGAAGAGTGATGCAACCGAGGCTTTCTTTTTTGCCTGCTTCTTACAACTGGACCTCTTTCCCTGAGACACAAGTTGCAAAGTAAGAGATCAGTAAATGATAGTTGAATGTAGGCACCACAGGACATCAGATAACAAGCTAAATGAAATTTAATCTGCTAATAGAACCATGAGAGGACGTTGCTGGTGTAAATATTTCAAAGATCTCCAAAACCATCATCTTGCGCATCCCAATTATCCCCAAAGTGAAAACACTAGAAATTAGAATGGTATGCGTACGTTGTCCTCAAGACTCTGATCCGCTTCATATGGCTTCATAGGCTGCGACGGAGACAATCGAGTATCCTGTACAAAACCCGGTTTGGAAGAGAGTATCAAGGTAATTAACCTCAGGGCCAATCAATTTGAATCCCGCAATCCATCAGTTTGAGCACTCTACGGTGGCACATGTCGAACTCAGAAATATTTAGTACATAGGGACGAAAATATGACAGCAACATTCAATGTAAGAACAGTCGACAAGACTCGTGAGTTAGGTACTTACCGGTGTTTTCGAAGACCTGATCACTCTGTAACTCCTTTCTTTCGGCCGACCAACTGATTTGTTTGCCTGTAGAAGAGCTCAACATTTGAGAAACTAAATTTCAAAAAACTCTCAACCAGCTGCCATTTACGTTTAAGAGTCTGCGCATAATGGTTGTACAATCAACTCAACTAACAAGCATCTCAGATTTTCTACTGATGTTAAATGTTTAGAGCTTTACATCCAATGACACTTAAGCAACTTTATCTTTTAAATGTAGAGGTACTTGTGTCCAAGTGCAGAAGACGAGTACATGCGTTACAGATTCGAACGTTTAACAAATTAGCCCGTGATTGAAATTGGGCTAGTGAGTAACATAAATACAGTGTTCAAGAACGCGCTTACTAGCACTATGCAACGGGTCTACTTGTGCCACTCGAATAAATAATTCACAACTGTTCACCCATAATTCATGAGGTTGACTTACCAATTGCGTGTTAAGTTCGTCTGTTTGAACAGAGTCACTTCCATGTACCATACCATGATGGTGCACTTCTGGGGTGCTAGTCTTACCATTTGCACCACGCTGTGCGCCTGTATTCACTGCACGTCAAGGATACGTTCTGACCATTAAGTTAGTTCTGAGGAACACATCGAATGCAGGATCAGAGTGTGCAAAGAGTCGCTCAGCATTATGATCGCACAAAACACAACACGCTTTCTGAGTTTCTTACATACGTCGGAAGGGAGTAATATCACAGTAAGCAGCACAAGAAAACTAGCACTTAGTTAACCAGTGTGCAATCAATACAGGTGTAAATAGGGTTGAGGACCAACTGTAAAAGTTGACAATGAATCATGTGAGTGGCAAAAATATGAAATTGCGAAGGCAAATGAATTAAGCATGAAACAGAAGCATCACCTAGTGATTAAGTTCATGTGACATTGCAAAGCATTTGCAGGTGGTATACTCCTTGATGTAAAAGTTAACTTACCCAGGATTTGAGTCTCCGCTAAGGCTGATTGACATCCTTCGATTTCATCAATTGCTGAGATCGGGTCATCACTTTCATGCGGTGTATTTGCAGCGTGCATGGCTTCGGTGGATGTAACCTCCATCTCCACCTGTTAAAGATCATGAGCTACAATTGCACAAAAGCAACTAATTGGCCGCTTCCTGCACAAGTAAGAGGCTTCTAAGAAAGCCCAAGAGTACAGAAGTTAGAGAAAATCAAAAGCTGTAGCACAACGTCACATGCAAATATCAAACACAGAAACAATCCACTTGTAACAATAGCGTCCTCGTCATGACAGTTGAGCACATTCTCAAATTAAGAGCTGAACGAAGATTGAGGATGAGGCGTCAAACAGGACGTATTCAGTTACAAAAACATCTGCAACAATGGTGTTAACACACGTAAAATCAAAAGAACCCTATATCTCAAACTAAGAGTTCACATGTGAATAATACGCACGATATAATCTACTGTGAGCTGAACGGAAGAATAAGTCAACGGGGTAAGAAAATGGATGTAAGGTGTTCTAGCAACCAATTAAATAACCCATAAATTTCGTTTTCGAGACTAACTGGCAAGAGAATCGTTCCTGGGCTCTACCGAGTTATACAGACTGTCAGAGCTGTAGCTTTCCGTGAGCACAAGACTGAAATAGCAAGTAAAGAGTGAGGAATGGCGAAACGATCTTCCTGCTTAACAATGCAAAAAAAATTGCTACATGGGCTAAAGTCCGAAACTAATGTAATGACGAATTGATACACAGTGAAGAATTCCGAACATCCATGTTGTAGATGGGGACTACCCAAAACAATAGAGCTTCGCTGTTTTGAACGAAAAACAAAAATCTAGCTGCAGAAAGTAAAAGAGAAAGACTGCTGCATAATATAGTGGAATAAAGTTTAAGAACCAGCTAGTGCTCGAAGCAAATGATTGCGGAAATCTATCTGACTCCAATCATGCGAAGTTCGTAAGTAGCCCATAAATTAAATAAACAATGGCCGACCAACAGAGACCGCATCCCACAGTCAATGAATCCACTAGATTTTGAATAAGCCAAACATACGCTAATAAGACAGCATCAGAGCCCAGCAACTGACCGTTGTCACTCAGGTCACACGCATGAAGCTCGGAATACTCAAGTTTCTCTCTCTCTCTCGCTCTCCCTCTCACAGACACAGCACTAACACACTAACACGCACCCTCTTTCCGAGCCCAGCTAGACTACCCTACTCACGACGTCAGGAACAAACCTCCACACTCAAATCTCCCGTGGCAGCTCAAACTCACAGCACGGCTCCGCTTCCCCCAAAAAGACCAAACCAAACCCGCACGCGGACAGGCTGCAACCCGCTGACCCACAACATGAAACCTCCCGCTGCAACACCGCAGCGTCCATCCCAAAACCTCAACCTACGAGGATCTCCAACCACATTCCTCGGGAATGTCATCACGCTTCCATCCACAACAATCCAGTGCAAAAACAAAAACAAAAAAATACATCGATTTTTTTTTTCGAAAAACCCAAAAAAACCCAACCCCCATAAAACAAAAAATTCGCATGAAATACCATCCCCACACCTACATTCACAGCCATCACAAGAACCGCATCGTCACTGTGCCCCTCATCAGCGTAAATCTCACGTTACTAAACCACGAACAAATCCTCTAACCTCGTATCTAAGGGACCTCCATTGCGAACTCGTCTCTGCACGACCGAAAAATTGGAGAATTTCGAGGGTAAAGTGTAAAATGGCGCTCCCAGCCTGGACGCCAACGAATGATTTCGACCAACTGCGCATAGGGAAAAGCCGCACAGCGAAGTCGACGACGACGGCAGGAGGATGAAGTCTGGAACGCGAAGCCATCGCTCGAAACCTAATGGAACGGAGCTCTCCTCAGCCGGTCACCCCTGTCTGCCGGTCACTCGTGGCGTCAGGCGACCCGTTTTCGCGGGACTGGCCCGCGAAACCCCTCGACCCCGCGCTCAACCGCTCGCGCGGGATATTTAGGTCCGCATAATTTGAAAAAAAGCACCTGGATTGGGACGTGGGCCGGGTCCTTCAGGTCTCCAACCGGACTTTCTCACGTTGGCTGGGCCTCACGCTAAAGTTGTTTAAGACACTGCTGGCACTGTATTTGGCGACGATGGGTGGGGGTTATGCTAATTGGGTCCATGGCTATCTTTGCTTCCCCTTCCCAATCAACCACTGATAAAATTGGTGCGTGACTTTAATGTGGGCTTTACGTTGGCTCCAAATCATTGATTGTGAGGATTTAGAAATCTTTTAATGAGCACGTCGTGTTAACACGTCCTGTTAACAAGAAAAATATCCATGTCACTTTGTTTCCTTGTCGATTGATTATCTGCATTGTTTTATTTATTTTTATTATTTTGGTAAAAAAGTAAAAGAAATACCTTGTCTAGAGCCGTAAAATGAAACTTAGAGCTATCAATTGAAAATCGTTCGACTGTTACTTTCAAATCCCTTATCTTTATGTCATTTATGTATGAATTTTGTATATCAAAGTATTACGATTTTTTACTAATTGATTAGAAATTCAATTGCATCAAGAGACATTTTTTTATTTTTTTGTTGTGAAATTTTTCATTAAATCAATAGATAAAGATAAAGAACTTCAACAAATGCATTATCTTTTTTTCATAATATAACATATGATATATGTAAAATTTGAGTTGACAATGATTGACTCAATTGGGTATTGAAATTATATATATATATATACATATATCATTATTTTTTGGTATGCTCAATAAAATATATGATAACTGTATTATTTTATTTGTTGGAGGTACTATTACACTACCTAAGATTAAACTAAAATTTAGATTTAATAACATATTTATCATCTAAGTACTAATAAAGATCAAATTTTTAAAACATGTATTAAGAATACTGTAATAAGAATATTTTAGAACTTAGATATAAAATATTGTTTTTGGAGAAATATATAAATACAGAAGTAACACTTGAATTCATGTATTACTTGACATCATCTTAATTTGATTTTCTACACCATAATTTTAAATTCAAATACCTTTAAGGTTAGTTGTTAGAATTATTTTATGAATACTTTTTTATACCTCAAATACAAACATTTATATAAAAAGTTATTGCAAAGAATCAACAATTAATCTTATACTTTTTTTACTTTCTTTTTAAAATCATTAAAAAATAAAAATAAAATATTTTGGTATCAACATTAATATTTTTTTATTTAAAACTCATAACAACTATAATAGGTATCTATTAGCATATTGTAAAAAAACAATTGATGTTAATTTATGAATTATTAAAAATAAAATATATTTTGAAATTTAAAAACTAATATTATAATATTGTAAAATCACAAAATATATACATGTCATATTAAGTAGTATCTTATTTTGTTTCTTTAATTATATTGTGGCAAATAAATCTTATACAAGTTAAAAAAATATAAAATATAAAGAGATTTTTAAAAGTGCATATAAAATCTAAAGAGTATTTTATAAAAACTTCTTGAAGACTTTGGATAGTTAGAGAAAACATGTAAAATTTTATAAAATATTACTATAATATTTAGAGTCTTTTAAAAAAATATAAATATCCAAAAAAGTAAATATAAATATTTGAAAGATTTAAAAATGACATGAGAGATGTTTGAAACCATACTTTGTTATATGTTTGTAGCATTATTATTTTACCTAATAACAAAGTCTATAAGAACTTTAATCATATATTTATTTATGACTTCTAAATCAAATTTTAATTAAATAATTATTATAAAAAATGCTATCTTTTAATCTATATTTAATTAATAAATATGTCTTTTTTTTCTAAAAATTAATATCACTAATATTTGGTATTAGTAAACTTATTCTAAAGTCTTAATATAAGTTTAAAATTTCAATATATATATACAAAGAAATATTATTTAACTTTCATATTCAATAATTCTAATATCTACAAGTATAATCATATATCACAAACATACATATTTATTTAGATTAAAGGAATTAAATAGAAATAAATAGAAGTAATTAAATTTGATAGTATCTTTTAAAAATCTTCATAAATACATATTTGGCTTTATATATATTTTTAGATGATTGATAGGTTGAAAACTTGGTCGAAAAATTATCTACATATTGTACATATTGGTAACTTGTGGTACAAGTTAGTCATATGGCGCATATGTAAGAAACTTATTTTGCAAGTTTGACTTGTATTTTGCAAGTTGAATGAGTGTCATAGATTCTATAGGGTATTACTACATAATTCCTAATAAGATAATTTGTATCGAGGCAAGCGTGAGGCATTTTTATTCTTGTCAATAATTTTTATTTTTAGAAATATTTTAAGACTCTCTAATCTTCTTGTCTTCAATAATAGTCATTATAATTTTAATATTACACTATCTTTGAGTGAATATCTATTATTTTCTAGTGACACAAGAATATATTGATTTTTTTATTATCTTTCATTCATATCTTTGACAATTTGATAAGATTGTTATTTCACTATTCTTGTTTATTTTAGAAAAAAATAGATTTTTTACTGGATTTTAAAGGTTGTGGACTATTGAATTTTATTTATTTATTTATTTAATTTAATACTATTTTTTTTAAAAATAAAGTATCTTTCATTGTAAAATTTTTATTTATTATTTGAAGTTACAGATTACCTTCTTCTAATTTGACTTATGAATTTATTAAAGCGATATATAATAGAAATGAAAGAAATGAATGCAATATTTAATAAAAATAAAAATAATTTTATGAATATTTTAGATCTAAAAAAACTTGTCAACATTCTTAAGGTTAAAATCTCATATATTACTAACATCAATTATAGAAGTACTATACCTATGCCTATGAAAGGAGTCAATAATAAGATTTAATGTATGTATTAAAAAATCGTGTAGTTGAGAGAAGCAAGTAGATCAATCTTATAATTGAAAGTGAGAAATCTTACTACTACAAGTATGATAAAGATGAGGATTAGTATGTTAAAAAAATTCAATGAAATAAGATAAAAATATTTAGGATTTCTACAAAAAATAAAATTCTATACAAAATTATATCCTTTTCAATATTCTAATAGATTTATTAAAGTTGGATTTATAGAAACATTTCTATTAGAGAGTATTTTTTCTTAGTTTGTACCTTTGATGAAAAAGGATTCAAATTTCTTATAAAACCTAAATTCATTTTTGGAAGTATTTATGGCCACATTTGAAAAAAATGTTTGAGAGAAAGTAGCAAAGATAAGATTCTTATTCATACAATAAAGATCATGATTAGATATAATATATTTTTTTAAATCCAAAACTTTGCTTGCAATATGGATTGGAATAATAAAGTCTTTGTCAATTAATTTTAATATCAAGTAAAAGATAATGTCAAAGACTTATTATTAATAATATTAAAAATATATCCATTAAAATAATTTATTGCTCAAGCTATTACATGTATTAATTGGCTTTAAAAAAAATTCAAATGATGATAATAATTTTATTGGAATAGAACAAACCAGGTCATAATAATAATTTTTTGGGTTTTAAAAACTTATTAATTAAGATCAAAATCTATGTAAATTAATATAATATGCTTAAAATTCTCAATGAAGAAGAAAATTCTTGACATTATTAAGAAGAATTATACTTATATCATAGAAAATTTAAATACAGTATTCAATATTGTCTAAATAAGCAATACAATGTCAAAATAAAGAACATAATTGCCAAAGATGATTATATATATATATATATATATATATATATATTACAATAAGAACTATGAGGCTAAAATCTTGTGCAATACCTAATAAAGGTTCTATTTTTCTTCAAATTCTTTCTCTTATTTTACAATAGATGTTGATTTGGGATTAAAAAATTACAAATTTTTTGCCTTATTATATTTAAGAGCCTTAATTTATTTTATAGATAAAGAATTTTTTAAAAATAAAAATATCATTAATTAAGAAAATTAAATTAATACATACAAAAATAAAAAATGGTCAATTTTTATCTTCAAAGAATGTTATCTATAAAACTATTTCTATAGAAGTAGCAAGTAATAGTCATCATAACTATAATAATATTTAATATTTTTAGATATTATTTTTACTTATTTATATTAGATTTATAGTGGTTAAAAAATATATAATCTTTAAATAGACTAAATTTCTTATAATCTTGATTTTTTTCCATAGCATAATCCAAAATTTTATTATCAAAGTAAAAAATTATAAATTGAAATTCTTATTAGTATATAAAAGAATTTTTATATATGCTGCAAAAAAAAGGTCATTTTTTGTTATTTATGTGACATCCATTTTTGATAGTAAAAGACTTCAAGTAAAATTCTAAGATAGTATAAAGATTATTAATATATTTTTTTTAAAAAAAACTATAAATATTCTTCCAATATGTTATTTTTATGATTGCTTAATTGATTTAAAAAAAAAAAACTCAATTGTAATTTAGATCAATCTATAGATTATTATAAAAAAATTGATTGTACTTAAGAAGTACCTAAATGCAAAACTGATTAAGAATTTTATATGCCATTTG